CCGGACGCGCCGGAGAAAGGTGTAGCTGCCATGGGTCTTGGAAGGGGAGGGGGGATGGTGGTGACCACGCTTACTTCTGAAACTCTAGCATTTGCGGCATTGTTGGTGCCTGTGTTGTTGTTGCGGTTGAAGGTTCTTCTGGGTTGCTCTCTGTCTTGGTCAATCAGACCCTGTTTCATTGCATCTTCGATCTGTACCCCCATCTCATGCAAATCTAAAAAGGTGGGGAAGGGGAGAACGATGATCTTGTGCATGATTTTGGGCTAGAGATTGCGCACAATCATCTGAATCTGATCTTTGTCAGTGGGACTAGTGGTCATCATTGAGGCCATGGCCCACCATCGGGTTATGAGCTTAGAAAAGCTCTCCTTAGGCTCCTGCCTAGCCGTCTCAAGATCACAGGTTGTAATCTCGATTTGTGTATTATAGGAGTACTGAGCGACAAAAACCTCGGCCATCTCATCCCAATTCCTCTTAACATCGTCTTCCAATTTTGCATACCAGATGGCCGCTATACCCAACAGGGTCCGGCCAAATAAAGAAAGCTTCTGCACTCTGGTGAGACCCATTGGCCTTAGTATGTCTAAAAACAACCGTAGATGCACCATGGGATCCCCAGATCCGTCAAAGTGGTCGATATGTGGCATCTTAAATTGGTCTGGCAGCGTCACGGCTGCATCGGTGTACCCATCTTTGATATTTGGGATGGACTTGACGCCCTGAGATTTCTTGAACAACTTTTCAAGCTTGCTCACTTTTAATGTCGTAGGGTCCACCTCAAACTCGAAGGGAGAATCCGGTAGGTTGGTAGGTGTTTTGGATAGCTGGGGTAAGATTGGGGACGGAGCCGGCCCCGTTGGAATGTCCGTACCTTCCTGGACATTTGGTGTTTCTCTGGGTACAGAACCCTTGGTGGGGAAGGGGCTTGATGCGAAGCAGAGGCTCCATTTTGCTGTTACAGCTTGGTGATTAGCTCTGCCTGCTGGGCCATGATCGCAGCCTGTTGTTTGGCAAATTTCGCTTGGCAGACAGCGTCCTGTTGCATGATTTTCATACTTTCTTGGAGTTGACGCATCATTTCCTCCATTCCTACCATAGAGTGCTGGTTTATCTTGATAACCGGTATATCTATCCCAACAGTAGAAACTGAGACCTCAGCCTGACTGTTCACTGGTGCGGCGGATAAGGGCCACTGATCAGGTCACTACTGAACTGGTAATCTGGGCCTGACTAGCCCTTTTACCCTGCCTCTAGCAAAGGAACACTGACTGCCCTTGAACTGAATCTCTGACCTGAAAAAGTCTATCAGCACAAGTCTAATGTACTAGGAGATATTGGAGCCTTCTGAAGCTATAGTTCCACGACTACCTTGCAAAAGAGAAAACAGACAACATCTCAGCCCAATTTCACTGGAATAGATGTGAGCATAGCTGAATGACTGCACTCTCTACTAAATTTTGCCCAAAAATTCTGCCTGTAGACTAATACCCTCAGGTAAAACTGATTCTCCCAAAATACTGATGCCCTTAGGCCTGATTCCCAGACTTGCAAACTGATACATGCATTCTTGTAGAGACGCACTCTAAAAGCACATAGCAAGTAATTGAGAGCCAAAACACCCTTATGGTGGGGTAGGGTTTCCTACCCTATTTTGTCAGGAGCTTGGGTTTCACTACGCACGCAGCGGTTTCAAACAACCTATAATCGGGTAAGCAACCTGTCCTAATTTGGAATGGTCACTATGGATTCCGATATGCACTAGGTCGAATGGTCGAAAAGGGTGCCCCAGTAAAAACTGAGGTTTGTGTTCCCATCGTGGAAGAGCCCGTAACCGGTCAGCCTTATGGCACACTTCTCAAAGTGAGCCTCCGACAACTATTCAGGAATAGCAGATGGAAAACATGGTGTCCTAGGCACACCAATGCAAATGCAATGCAAAGAAACACATAAGTGTAGTCAAAACATGGTATCATGAGTTCAAGTCAAGTTCTCTAAATCACCAGCGGAGTTGCCAGAAATTGTAGATGTCCCCGAACGTCCCGGGAGGGAATCCCGTTTTGTTTATTTGGGGCTCACTATAGTTCGGACCCAATGTCACGGTTCTTAATCTGATCTCGCAAAGTGCAATGCAAGATTGATAAATCACCAAAGAGCCCAAGTCCGGCAAATCATTTTGAACAACTGATTTTTAGAAAGAAGTGCCAAACATGGTCTGCTTTGCCAGATACAGAGTCGCCACCTAAATATTTTATTTTGAGGAAATTTAGGAAACCTTGACTTGTGCCTAAGGCCATGTGTCCATCATCACCAAAGTTGCCTCGGCTCGGGAACTTAGGTACGATTGGAGAAGGTCATCTATGAGCACCCCCGCACACCCGATCCGAAGATTGGCCTGTACTAAGCATGATATCGAGTTTTGAAAACATATGTGTTCTTATTCTGGTTAATTAGCTAGAATTTACTATGTGATGCGCACAACACACAAGTATAGACTAGATCGCCTAATTTGGAACAAAATATCGCAATCCGTTTGTTTGGAAATGGTTTGAGGTTTGCTACTCTCGAGTTGGCTAGAATATGGATTTCAATGAATTGATCCAATTCAAGTAATCCAACATTCACCCACAGGCATTCAGACAGTTATATCACGTAAGCAAATGGTCTCATGGTAAGCAGACTGTCATGCCAACACATACACACATACAAGATGCTAAAGCATAAATACTCACAGTGTACTCCGAGCCAAAACAAGGAACATGTTAGTAATCAAATGTATGATCCAAGTCCATGTTAAGATGGCGAATGCATCGCATACAAAATGCAACTAGAATAGGCTCGGCTATTCTAAGGATGGCATGTGAAATGCAACAACTCGATACACGTATTCAACTTGGAATTTGAAATACTATGTAGTTAGTATGATGTGCCGAGCCCGGTGCATGCAATACAAATGAATGATGCAAACATGTATAGCATAAGGATGCTAATTGAAGCGTGCCCTAGAACTAACCATCATAAGCGGTTAAGTAAAAGGGAGAAAGAAATGGTGGTTGGAAGGCATGCATCACACTCACGCACGTTTATTACACAATTGCGCCCTTTCGAGGGATTGAAAGAATAGTACAAACCGAATAAATAATTAACTACTCTAGCTAATTAATTAATACAGACCACTTAACTAGTTAAGCAAATTAACTAAGCTAATAAAGCGGTAAAACAGCCTTGGGAAGAGGGATAAATGCACACATGCTTGGCTCCGCCCGGAAATCCATCGCCATGCTCGTGCTGCCTCTGTTTGCACTGTTTTCCTCTTCTGAAGACTGTACAAGTTTCCAAATTGCTTCTGAAATACTCCCTGAGAGTTGTGGGAGGCCACCGACCAAGAGGGAGAACCACCGGCCATGGAATTATGGTCATCAACCAAAAATTAGATCACCGACTAGGTATTGATAGTCGGCCGGCACTGAAAGTTGCCGACCGGCCATTTCTTCCTGCAGAATACTGGTTTGCTGCAACAGAGGACATACAAGACGTGTCAATGCATTTCAAAGCAATGTTTGCACCACCACCCTCCCAACCTTACACCCGTTTTTGCCAAATTATTTTAGATCCATTCTTCATTTTCTTTTACTTTTTTTATTATGTATTATATATACATATATATTATGTTATATTATTATATATAATTTTTTAGTAAATTTATTCGGTGTCGTGGTTTCACCCACGTACCATACTTTTGTATGTATATATATATATATATTAAATATTAAATATTTTATGTATTATTATCTTATATAAAGTTATTATTCCTCCGTTGAAAATCAACCCAGCCTTCCCACCATTAGTTGTTTTGTTTCTTTAGTTTTAGACCCGCTTTGATCAAATTATGTTACATATTTGGCCTGCTAAAATATATTTTACTAGTCCATGTATTTTGATATTTAATAATTTTACATATTTGTGTGTGTTTTTTGAGTATTTGTACATATATTTATGTTAATAATATCTTTTATATATTATTATATTGTAAAGTGCAAAGTAATTTTACTGTGCAGTGCACAGTAAAATCACTGCATACCTTTTGAAATCAGTTCCTTTCACCGTTTGTTATTTTGTCATTTTCGTGATTTTATTTTCTATAAAATGGGGTGCGAGAGAGATTGAAAGGAAAAAGGATCAAAAAGAAAAGAAAAGAAGAAAAATTAGTTTTTGAGAGAGGGAGAAAATAAAATATTTCTTAGATATTTTATTTTTCTAAACCAAACTTTTATTTCCATTTCATCAATACACCATTCAAAAACCAACCACTAAAGCTGTCATTCCGAATTTTTTACTGATAATTGATAACACATTCCATAACCTGAAGGGTAATCAAAAGAAAGTTTGCGAATCAGAAAATACATCATTTCCCCGAAAGGTGGATTTTCGCAAACTTTCATTTAATTTAAAATGTGATATAACTTGTTTAAATACTTCATTTACTTCTTTTCATAACTATTTTTATCGCTTTAACGAAAAGGCTACACCATCCACATATCTATTGTAATTTACTATCTTTTTATATAACTATTTTATTGCTTTAATAGGAAGGCTTCACCACCCACATATCTGCTGTAATTAACTGTTGTATCTAAACTGTTGTAATTTATTTATTGCTTTAAATAAAATGTTGTAATTTACTACTTATATATAAATTGTTGTAATTTTACCTCTTTAAATGGTCGGTCGAATCACCTAATTTGTGAAAGATGTGACCCCACCGGATGAATAGTGATCAACGGTGAATAGTAATTGCCGGTGGTGAATAGTAACCTCCAAAGGTGAATAGTAGCCCCGACAATGAATAGTACATTCGACAATAAATAGTAACTGCAAACGAAAAATGTCCGGTAAGATGAATAATGACCAAGAATGGTGAATAGTAATTGTCGTGGTAAATGGTACTAGCAGCGGTAAATAGTGCCCTGGGATGAATAGTGCTCTTGCAAAATAAGTTTCCCTAGATAGAACAGAGCAGTCTTCCTACGTCGAGCAGAATAGTTTTCGGTGGTCTTCGAAGCATATGAAGCTTTTGTTTTCTTTTTTTAGTATGAGGGAGTTGTGAGATTTTTATTTTATTGTAATATTCCCTCCTCTCTCTCATTTGATTTGTAATAATTTATTCAAAGTGTTGTAGTAATTTCCCACCCCACTTCTTTCTATCTCGTTCTTTTACTTGCTTTCCTTATTTGTGGATATGCATCATGTTTTGTTTTTTTATTAATTTTTAGTATAGCCTTGCTGTGCATCTATATTTCATGCATCTTGATTCGGCTAATTTTGCATTTGTGAATTTAATCAATTCCTATGTGATTATGTGCACTACCTCATGTTCTTGCGATGATTCACATGTCATGTCTTAGAAACCGAATCTTTAGTTGCATCTCATATGCGAATTGCATTAGGATTTTGTATATAAGATCATGCATTTTTTCTAACTTTCTTTTGTAGTTGTTTGCGGGACGTCAGTAAATATGTAAATTTTTATGCTTTAGCATTTCGCTTGTGTGTGTCTTTCTTACTATGTTTAGCATCCTACCATGAGGCTATTTGCTTATTTGATATAACTGTATGAATGCCCGTGGATAGTGGTTGTGCCGCTTAATTTGGAATAATATTGATTTTCATTTTCATTGAGTTGTACATCTTCAAAACTCTTTCAAAACATATGAAATCGAATTGTTCTAAAATGAATGACATAGTCTATACTTGTATACTTTACATAGTAGATTTTAGGATTTATTAAATAATCAGAATATGAATATATAAAGGAAATAAAACTCATAGCATGGTTTACTAGAGGCCGATCTTTTGTTCAGGTGAGCGAGAGTGCTCAATTAATGACCTTTCCCTCTTATAAGGTTCTGAGCCAAGCATCCTTGGTTATGACGAACAGTGGCCTTGGCACGAGTCACGGGTTTCCTAATTTTTCCAAAACATTAGGTAGCAACTCTAAGATCTGGTGATGTAGTCTATTTGTGGCAATAATTTTGTAATAAGACGGATTTTCTATAAATTTGCCAAATTTGGACTCTTATCTATGTTTTACATTGCACTCGTGGGACTAGATCAAAGAAATCGACGGTCCGAACTATTCAACGCATGCAGGTACCTCCCAGGCATGTTACAATAATATGTAAAATATTTTATGTCTATAGATTAGGTTGAAGTCCAGACTTTGAAGTCCACAAGGTGCCTATATAAAGGCCTTGAGAAAGAGCGAAAGGGGAGACAAATTACTTAGAGTATACATGAAACTAAGAAAAAAGTCTAGTTCCCAGGCCTTCTTAGAGCAAATAATACTCTAGCAATCTAACAGTCTACAGACACCCCTTCCTTGTAAATTTTTGTTCATTAAATAAAAGTTATTCATTTCTAGAAAAGAGTGTTACTATTGTATGTAAAGTTGTTGATGAGTCTAAAATCAAAACATCTTAATATTATAAATAAGTTTTTCTTTTTTATGATCTGTTACTAGATTGTAATGAAGTAATAATACTAATTGCAAACTGTCACCAAGGTCGTAATTTGTTACAAAATCTACTAAATACTGGTGTTGTTAAGGATATAGAATTTTCCAGAAAAAAAGTTGATAAGATATCTCAAGAAATCGTGTATTGTCAACAACAACTAGAGTTAGTGTCATAAAAAATAAATGAATAAAATTAATATTAATATTAAATTCCATGTCACTGCCACATCATCAAGGCTCACCATCAAGCCACATCATTTGAGCCATGTTGAGCCACTAAAAATTGGGACTACCTAGCATCACTTGAAAATGAGCACACTTTACTCAATTTATAGTAAAAGAAACTTGGGAAAAGAAAACAAATAAAAAAGGAATAAAATAAAATAAAACAAATAAAAAAAGAATAAAATAAAATAAAAGAAAAAAGGACATGCAAATGGAGGAGGAGAAGCATGGCATGGTATGGCATGTGTTGCCTATCAATCAAAGATCAAAGGGTATGGGAAATGATGGGGGTGGACGGCCTTTTTTTTTTTTTTGCTTAGTAAAGAAGAAAGATGATAAATGGGATAGAAAAATCTATTTTAAAAAAGAGATGAACCAAATATTAATAATAATGAGATGAAGATAAAAAAGATAAAATAAATATAAAGAAATAAGTTAGGTTCTGTTGAGATATGCTTCTCATATTAGATATATATCACAGATATACATCCATGATTCCATCCTTATCATTATTTGTATCTATCCTTATCTCATACCATGTATAAATAGAATAGAATAGTCATGGAATTAATGTAATACAAAAACTATTTTCATTTGAACTCAATCAAAATATTGACAGCAGGTGGTTCAAGTTGGTATCAGAGCCAATGGCCTCTGAAATTTCATCCTCCAGTATTGCCACCCCCTTAGCCAAAGCCCCTTCACCCATCTCCCTTCCTCATGCTCATCACTTTATCTCTCTTAAACTCACATCCAAAAAATTTCTCTATTGGAAAATTCAACTTCTTCCTTACCTTCATGGCCAACAACTCTACTCATATATTGACGGTTCCTCCTCTTGTCCACCATCAACCGTTGTCATGGATGGTGTCTCCACTCCCAATCTCGCACATGCGACTTGGCAGTGTCAAGATCAACTCATCATGAGCCTTCCCATTGCCTCTCTCTCGGATGAAATATTCCATCTTGCCATCGGATGCTACTCTTCTCGTGATCTTTGGCTCACGCTTGAGCAATTCCTCGCCTCGCCTTCTCATACTCGACTTCTCCAACTCCGTTTAAGTCTTCAACAATTGAAACAGAATGATCGCCCAACCACAACTTTTCTCCATGACGCCAAAACTATTGTCGATGAACTTGCTGATGCCGGCACTCCTATTTCGCCTTCCGAGTTCAACCTGTATGTCTATCAAGGCCTTCATCCTGATTTCAAGGATCTTGTCACAACCCTCATGCCTTGCCCAGACCCTATTTCATTCTTGGAACTCCACAGTCTCCTTTTAAGTCATGAGTTCCTTCATCGCAACACGACCACCCCCGCTTCGACACTTGTTCCACAAGCCCACTTTGCTCAACCCATATCTCGTGGTTGTTCGCATGGTGGTTTTTCACGTGGCCGTCGTTGTGGTCATGGGCGCGATGGGCAAGAGCAAACTGCTCCCCACTTTGGCTCCTCTTCAGGTTCTAACTCGTTCTCTGCTGGTTTGGGCCTCCTCTCTATTCCATCTGCTGATCAACGTCTTCGCTGTCAAATTTGTAATTGGCCTAATCACATTGCTCCTCAATGCTGTCACTAGTTTGATCGCATGGTTGCTCTAAGTGCTCATTTCACCAGTTACGATTTTGGACCCATTTCCAGTACATATGGCGGCTTGAGTTCTCCTCCTTCCTCCCACCTTGATTGGTTTCCGGACACCAGTGCCACACACCATGTCACTCCTGATCTCGCTTCTCTATCTCACGTTAATGGCTACCATGGAACCTCTTATCTTCGCGTTGGCAATGGTATGGACATTCCAATCTCCCATATTGGTTCCTCCACTCTTCATTCCCCTTCTCATTCATTTCTTCTTAATTCTATTCTTCATGTTCCTACTTTTTAAAAATCTTTACTTTATGTCCATCAATTTACTAAAGATAATAATGTGTTTTTGGAATTTTATACCATTTTTTTTTTTGATTAAGGACCAACTCACCAAGAAAACTATTCTTCACGGCAAGAATGAAGGTGGTCTCTATCGGCTTTCTCCAAACTCTACTACACCTCCCGCAGCTCTCTCCTCTAAAGTTGTGTCTTCTCTCTGTTGGCACCGTCACCTTGGTCATCTGCATGAGCGTGTTCTTCACTCCATCCATCGGCCAAAATATGAGGCCATCAGCCAAGGTAAACTGGTCATCGACCAAAAATAGGGCTCTCGGCCAAATGTTAGTTGCTGATAGGCACTGAACATGGTCGATCGACCATCTCTTCCTGTGAAAAGCTTCTGTTGCTGCAGCAGAGGACAAACAGAGCATGGCAATACATTTACAAGATAATGTCTACACAAATACACCCCTTATCTTGTTTAATACTCAAAGGTGTGTAGTTCTTGACCCTCGGACCACCAATCATGCATTCCAATGCATGATGGCCAAAGGAGCCAAGTGTGCAATTCAATATCAAATGAAATGCACAAAACACATAAGGAGCCCCAACCTCTATCATGATTGATCAAGAGGCAAGGGATGCACACATAATGCAATGCAAACATGCAAGAATGATGCAAACAACTCAAGCATGCAACAAGTATGCAACGAGATCATACAATGCATCTAATACACAATAGGCATACAACCTAAACATGTAAACATGCATAACATGCAACAACATGCAAAGTGAAGCAAGCATGCAACAACATGCAAGACAAACATGCAACAACATGCAAAGATGGACTTAAACTAAAGTGGACAACTCTTAAACATGCCCAAATCAGTGGCCAAAGTGCCAAGAAATGATAGACAAAAGCACATACAAACACGCACATGTAATGGCCTATCACCTAGGCATAAAAGGGCAACTTTCAAGAGCACTTAAAAGGAGACAAATATGGGCATGTGACAAACATGGTAAGCTCTGAAATTATGTTAAGAAAGGTGTCAAACTAATCAAACAAAGCAAGCAAGTCATGCAAAAAGGCTTAAAGCTTGAAACTAGCCAAGGGACTCAAACCAAGGCTATCCAAAATCTGAAGCAAATGACAAGTATAATCCAAAACAGTCCTAGATCATGCCAAAATGAGCCTAAAACATGCAACGACCAAAGCCAAAATAAGCTAGAACAAAGGGCTAAAAGCATGAGGCATGCAAGGCTACA